GGAATCTGCCATGCTCTACATTTTCACAAGTCTAACATAAAAATGCTCTGTTGTGCAATGTCTGCAATGCATGTAATGCACACCAGGGTACCACTCCTTTTAGGGTCCTCTAGACACTAGCTGGGACCATTCTCTGTTTACACTTTAAGCTTGTTTTCCTCCTTGCCCCATGGCACTGTGCAAACACAGAAGTTTCCTTTGGTAAAGGAACCAGGCTCACAGTTGTAGGTAAGATATCTTTCAGGTCTATCTTAGGGTAAAGCATGTCCTCTATGTTCATTTTCGAGTTCCTGTATTCTGATGTGCAAACTACGACTACACCTTCGGCTCAGGGACCAGGCTTTCGGTAATAGGTAAGGCCAAAGTGTCTTTGGGTATGGGGTAACAGGTATGACTCTGTCCTGGAAACCAGAAGAAGAATCTAGCTCATGGGTCTTGCTGGAGGGAGAAGTGGGCTCTTGTTTGGTACTACATCCTAGGGAGACTGAATCCTCGAAGGTGGTCTGAGGATTCCTGGTTGAATCAAGATAAGCCTGGGACGGAGGACAAGAAAGAGAAAGGAGAGGGGCTCACAGACAGTGAGGGGTTTTGAAGTGGACTTGGGAGGCTGTGTTCTGGAAACATGCTCTATTTTGGAGAAGGAAGCCGGCTCACTGTTGTAGGTAAGTTAGGACCAAATGGTTATGTGCCAGAGGCAGCCTCTCCGGGGTCCCTGTGTGGCAGTGCAATTCTGTTGGGAAGCTCTTTGTTCCTGTGCTCATGCTTGCAAGAAGGGAAGAAATGTCCATCTACAGTATTTCACAGGCTGGCTATGCCAAGCCAGGCATCCTGCTAAGTGCAGGCAAGCTCATCTCGAGTCGGCCTTATATACTGCTCATAATCCTGCTGTTTGGCACTCTCACACAGACAGAAGACACTGGAGAGGAGGAGGCATGCACCCACCAGGAAAACTGATTGCCAATTATATTAGTTAATAACTCACGGTTGTCTGTCTTTCCACTCCCCAGAGATATAACCATCCTCGGGAATGGGGGAAGCTAGCTGGCTGGTGGGCATGGGGAGGAGGGACAGAAAACAGGTGACAGTTTTACCACCAGGCTTTAATGTTGTGTTTCAACGAAAGATTATTTTTCGGTCATGGAACCAAGCTGTCTGTCCTGGGTATGTAAAAGGTTTCTTTAGGGGAGGGTATCTTGTAAGCCCCGGGGGTGCACGGAAGCTCCTTGGAGAAGGCAGGGACTGCAAACTCAGCCTAGGTTGTGGCTCAGAGAGGATGAAAAGGTGGAGAATTTCCTGAGCCCCTCGGGAATGTGTGGAGTCAAAGGAACCCCCCTCCCCCAGTTACCTGGGGGTTTGTCACTCTCCTGTTGTACTGTGTTACAACCAGGCTCAGCATTTTGGAAAGGGGACTCGCCTCTCTGTTCTAGGTAAGCTACAGAACTAAAAAGGTGGGGCTACTTTCCCTTGGAGCCAGAGTGCCTATGACCCCCAGCACTGGGGGAAAGGGCCCCAAGGAATTTAGTTATTTCTTTACTTGCTCTTGCTAGAGTGTAAAAAGCTACTACTCCATCTCCCCTACAGCAAGATGAACCAGCAACTGTTTCTTTACCCCCCCAAAGGAAGTCTTCAGGCTATGAGCAGTCTCCCGCTACCTCCCAGAGTTACCTTATCTTTTTGTTTGCTTGGATGAGCTCCTTCTGAGTCCCTTCTTCCTGTCCCCCTCCAGTGGCCATGCCTCATGGAATTACTGTATTCTAGAATCCTGCCTGCAGGCAGAGAGTGTCAGTCATCCAGCTCTCAGGGAACTAAAACTAGCTCTCTGACTTGGGACAGCTGGTGGGTTTTACCAAGGCCACCTGCAGCTGTGTTCCTATAATTCGCCCCTCTACTTTGCAGCAGGCACCCGGCTCACTGTGACAGGTATGGGGGCTCTGTTTGTGACTGGAGGGGTACCTGTGTTGGATCACAATGGTCTGGAAGAGGAACTTAGGTATAAGATTGGAAGGCAGAGTCACCCATTCCTGGAACCCTGTACCCTACTTTCCCCAGAGCCTGGTAGATTGCTGATCCCGGGGCTTTGAGTCATCTGTCTGATTTTGTATTATTCTTTGGACTCCGATCGTCTGTACTTTCTGAATGGATGAATTGCTTGGTTTTCTCTCCAGTACCACTTCTCCATTCACCCTCTGCACCGTTGACTTGTTTTGGCACATGGCTCTGTATTCTGATTTAAAATGTTGACACTGACCTCCAGTACAGACTTCTAATCCTGCCTTCATCTATCTTCCTCTCTCTATCAGTCTCTGTAGACTCATGTTTGTCTTCCTGGTGTGGCATAAAAGGTCCGATAGCAGAGGGAATCAGGCTGGCGGTATCAGGGTGACTTGAGGGCTGATCTCAGTGGAGGGCACAAGTCTTTGTTACAGCATTACAGGAGTTGTAGCTGCCTGCAGGGGAGTTTTATAGGACACTGTACTTGTTGGGTATCTCAGGCATAGATATGAATAAGCTTACAAGTAGAAAAATTATATACTAGCAATAGATTATGAAGAAGAGAAGATAGATAAGTGGCCCTCAGATTCCAGCTCTGTCTTGGGATAACTGGCTAGTGTATCTGTCATGCAAGCCGTACAGAACCAATGTCATGCTGGAGAGGAAGCAGACATGCTAGGGGAGCAGGTAGGAAATCGATGAGGTCTGAAAGATAAAAAAAGATGGAAGAATGGGACACCTCGGTCCTTGCAGGCTGGAAGCTTGCATAGATATTTTCTTGTAGATAGGACTCATGCCAGAGACGATTCAAGTGCCTGGGGCTCAAAAGAATAGAGTTGGGGGAACTGTCTGGGGTAATATTCCTAAAAAAAATTAATGCTAAGCTGTCCCAGGCTCTCTAAGACACATAAAATAGGAAATACAATTTAAAATTAATGTCAACTTAAAGGACTAAGCTGAAAATTTTTGGTTTTGTTTTTGTTTTACTTTTGAGAACTTCATAAACGAGTATTGTCTCTACATCACTCCTGTCCTGCCTTCCCCCTCTCACTCCTCCCATAACCCTGTCTCTCTACCAAATTCTTTTAAAGGATCCAAAGGTCACCTCATGTGACTACCTTTATTTCTCTTATTGATTATCCTTTGAGCCACTGTGTGTCTTTTTCCAAACCCATTTCTCAGTTTCCCCAACTTCAGACAGAGAAGATCTGTCTGATCTCATATTGCTGTGTTTCTGCACCAGGACCTTGCTTTGTATCAGAATAGAGCCAGAAAGGGAGGCCATTCATCTCCTCATAAATGGAGGATTCTCGGAGGTTGTATGGGAATTCTTGCATCTCTCTTGTCTTCAGAGGGAACCATTCTTTTTGTAGAAGGTTTTGTTCCATCCCATCTTGCAGGTATATGAGTGGACCAGGCCTTTCCAGTGGAGACCCACTTTGGAAATGACCTTTGTGCTTTAAAATTACTTTCTGGGAGCAATTAATCTTTTACTATATTAAAGAACACATTTTAGGCTGTGAACTAGAATTCCGAAACGCATTAAGGAGCCTTGCTGAGCATTGGAAAAATAGAAGAGTTCAACCTATGAATAATATCTTCCACAGGATTACAGTTGTCCTGAGCAAGCTGCCACAGCCCTCTCACACCTCAGTGTAGGCGTGAATGTGGAACATCAGCTAGGCTGTCAGCCAGAGACAAGCTGGAACCTCACAGCAAATGGCACGCAAAGACAGAGAGGGTGGGAAGAGCTGAGTAAGGGATTCAGAAACCTACAGGCAACAAATGTTGATAGCATACAGAATCACCCAAACACATTAACGCATTCACCTCACCTCAGAAAGGAAAACAGTAATTAAAAAAAAGTCACCTTAATTCTTAGGATCATGATGCTAATCGGACACTTTTGCCTCAAAATTCAGGCTCTCCCAACTCCACTATTTCAAGTCCAAAAGATCAGATAGCCATGCACGGATTATGGTTTTGAAAGAAAAAATGGGTATATTCTTTTCAACAGGTCATCATACAAAGTCCTGGTATGTGAGGCATTGCAAGAAAAGTCCAGAAACTCAGGGTACAATTCCACCTCAGGGAAATGGGTCAGAGAGAGTACACAGAGCATATACTTAGATAAACCCATTAAAAAAAGAGGGAACATTTCGGGATACCCACAGAAGTATTAGATAGTGACAGAAAGAAGCAGGACCTACTACTACATAGCTGTACATTGAAATAACCATTTCCAGCCCTCTCTCACACAGACCAAACCAGATCTAGACAGTTCCCAGAGCAGCCCTGTTCTCTTCATTTCCAGAGGATCTGAGCAAGGTGAGCCCACCCAAGGTCACCTTGTTTGAGCCATCAGAAGCAGAGGTTGTCGACAAACAAATGGCTACCCTCGTGTGCCTGGCCAGGGGCTTCTTCCCTGACCATGTGGAACTGAGCTGGTTGGTGAATGGGAAGGAGGTCCACAGTGGAGTCAGCACAGACCCTCAGCCCTCCAAGGAGAGCAATAACATCACCTACTGCCTGAGCAGCCGCCTGAGGGTCTCTGCAACCTTCTGGCACAATCCTCGCAACCACTTCCGCTGCCAAGTCCAGTTCTATGGGCTGACAGATGAAGATGAGTGGAATGGGGAGCCCTCACTCAAACCTGTCACCCAGACCGTCAGTGCCGAGGCCTGGGGCAGCGCAGGTAAGTAGGACCTGGGCAGCAGCTGGTAAGAAGAGTGAGCATCACTAGTGCCAAAGAGAAATTGAAAGACACAGGTAGAAGTCAGAAAGTCTAGATACAGAAAAAGCAGTGGCCAGGGACTAAAGCTTGGCCTAGAAGATAAGCTAGACAGCTTCAGCTAATCCTAACATGAGATCCTCAGCCCAGCAGCCTTATGGGTAGGGTCTCCTTTCCATGACCCAGTGCAGCTCAGCCTCTGAATTGTTATCTTTGGTGCCTAAGACGTGGGTTTCAAGAATAATGAGTTTGCATTGTGCAACAGAAGAGAGTGGGTTCTGGGGCCACCTGGGGAGGTTGATCTGGACCTGCCGCACTATGCTAGCCTCAGGGATGACTTAATTATCAGTCTCCTTAATAAGAAGACATCTCATCCATTTTCCTGCCTTTCTCTTCTTTCAGATTGTGGTATTACCTCAGGTGAGTTGACCCCCTCCTCACCTCTCATGACCTTGACTGCAGAGCTAACTACCTGTCCAGGTTCTTACACTGCTTTTCTTTACTCTCAACAGCATCCTACCAACAAGGGGTCCTGTCTGCCACCATCCTTTATGAGATCCTGCTGGGGAAGGCCACCCTGTATGCTGTGCTTGTCAGTACCCTGGTGCTGATAGCTGTGGTAAGGAATGGACAAACAGACCATACAGGGGAGGTGATTAATGGCAGACAAGAAACTAAGATTCAGGGGCTTAACCGCTCTAGCAGAACCAGGGGTGAGAGAGTTTTGCTCCCGTGCCATAAAAGGCAAGCAGAAACTTCAAGGAACTTCAGGGAATGAGCCTTACAGGGAACAAGCTGTGGTTGCCCCCCAAACCACAGGGATATTTAAGGAGCCCTGTGATTTCTCTGAATGGCCTTCCTCTCAAGCCCCATCATGCATGGCCCTGGGTAAATCTAAAACCCTTCTCTTCTTTCTTCAGGTCAAGAGGAAGAATTCCTGAGGCCAGACCTGGAGGTAGAATCCAGAACTTCCAATCCATTGTGGTGTTAATACAGGTTCTCTTGTTTCCAGCACTTCTGAAGAGCTGTTCTCTTTTGTCTGTGCATCCCAAAGTCCACTTACTAGCCATGTGCTTACACGTGTACATCTGAGATCCCTGGAGAGTGCCGAGCACTTACAACAATAAATATAACCAATAGACGTGTTCTAGAATGACCGGGCTCTGACTCATTTGTGTAGACGTCTTTATTTCTTGTCTATCACTGAACTCCCTGATCAATAATGAAAGGAGAGATACAAAAAACAAAAAAACAAAAACAAAAACAAAACAAACAAACAAAAAAACATGGTGAACTCTTAGGTAAGAAAAGTGAGGGTGCCCTCCTGACAGTAACAGAAGAGGCTAATGGGTGGTGATGGGGACTAAAAATTCTCAATAAAGAAAGACAGGGGTTGTGAGTACAGAAATTTCTGACCCTCAGAAAAGCACTGTGGGGAGCAGCTGTAGGTTACACAGATGTATCCATCTGCAACTGGTCATGTCCCGCTGGCTAACAAGGCTTGGTTCCCTGAATGTCACCAATCTTCCTTTCAGCTTCTCACTGAACACGAGTGTTTGTTCACCAAGCAGCTTTCCCACGCGATCACACAATCATGCACTGTCCTGGGAAACGATATTTTAGTGGGAGACGACATGGCTTTCATTTAAGATACAAATCTGCTGGGAAATGATTACCTAGTGGAATGGATGGACTTAAACAACATCCCAAGGTTGCTCCTGGATGTACAGAAAATACAACTTCCTAGCCAGGGCAAGCCCTCTTTCTACATCGAGAAACCCTTCACAAGCTCCCTGTGTTCTCATTGTTACCATGATGGGGTAGTGAGCATCCTTAAGATGGCATAAAGACCTGATGATTCATTTCACCCTATAGCCCCACGTGCCCCACTCCTCTCATCCGCCCCCCCCCCACGACATTCTGCATGTTTTCCTGCCTGCTCCATCTAGAGCAGCATGGTGCCCCTTCTTCCCTCAGTAGCCCCTACTTGGCTTTAAGGATTTGGCTTCAGTTTCTTCCTGGAGCCTTCTCTAGCATTTTGTTGTTCAGTCTTTCACTCTAACTCCATACAACTAGATCCAGGGACTGTCTGGTCCCTTGTGAAGACCTCCTCTGTGACACCATACTTTATGGGAACTGTTTCTTATCTGATTCCTCCCATGTAACTGGTGGTTTCTTTATAACTGGTGTATTATTTTTTTTAGAGTACACTGGAATACTGCATGGTATTTTGGTTCAGGATAGACACCTGTTAGTAATTTTCTGATAAACCTGTGAATGATGAGGGAAATAAAAGTGACCCCTATTTTAGAGCAGTCATCTCAGTGGGGCTCTCGCCATTACATATGATTTCAGAGTCTAATCTGTACAAACATGCGTGTATAGCTGCATACGGGCACATGTACACTCAGATTACCCACTCACTACATACATATAACTGTAATGTGTTACTTCTGACCACACAGGGAACAGAGGTAACTAAACCACAGTCCCCAAGAAACCCACCAGTCCATAATGGGACTAGGTCATGATGAAAAAGAGCAGAAATAAAAGCCAGTGTTTGAAGATGCTATGTGAACTGTCCACCAGATTGCACTCAGCAGCTAGATAATCAGACAAGGGCATGACAGTGTACAGATTCTTCAGAAGTGGCCCCATTTGTGTCCTCGTGGACTCTGTGCACTCTAGAGAGCTGCCATGCTTGCCAGAAACAGGAGAAAAAGCACTCACAGTACAGCTGGATACTTCTGAGTTTAGCCCTTTACTTGGGTGCAAGAGTCGGAGACAGAAATAGTAAAAAATCAAGGCTGAGAAGTCATATCAGCACATGCCACTCTGAGAATGGACTCATTTCCTTGTAAATGCAATATAACCTAACGCATAAATCAGTGTCCACTAAATATTTGTGGGATAAGTGAATGAGGAAGCTGAACTTCGTCTAGGAAGCCGTAGGAATGAACACCGGCAGTTTCTGAGCGACTTGTCTCTGTGTTCTAAGACGCGACCCAGTGACATAGATGCTCTCCCAGGGTGAGAGCACGTTCAGAACAGGGGCTCCCCTGCCCCCATCAGCAATAACATCATTAGTACCAAGATCTTCTCCAAGCTCCTCCTGTTTTTAAATTTACCCAACTTTAGTCTTTTCCCAGCCCCTCTGAGTCAGGCTAACCTCTCTGCCACGTGGGCTTCCTGTCCCTGCCTGGGGACTGGGGGAGGGCACCTGTGGGGAAGAAACATTTTTGTATCATGGTGTAACATTGTGGGGACTGGGGGGGGCACAATGATTCAAACAGAAGAGGAGCTTTTACAAAAAGCTCTGCCCCTGAAAACATCAACCCTCAGCCCAAGGAATGAATCTGCCATGTGAGAAGGGGGTCTGTGTGAGTGGTCCCAGAAGGTCTCACAATATCTGTGCAGCTCCTTGGCCTAGATAGCTCCCCGTGGTTGCAAAAGCCTGTCTTTGTCCATGGAAGAAGCAGAGTCACCATTCAGCCCCTTTCATCTTGGCCACATATCTGTACATGCGTGGCAAATTGAGAACTCATTAAAAATATTAAGTCAATAAACACATTGTGAGAAAGGTGTTTGTAGCACCTTTTCTCATCAGAAGCTAACCAACCTCACCCAGGAAGCCTTCAAATTTCAAGTTCACTATGTCAATCCCCGAGTGAATTGGCTGGATATTAATTCCCAAGGCAAATGTGGCATCTCATCTTCAGACTGAGGTTGGCCTCATGCAATGTCCAGATTTCCTGACCAGTACCGGAGTTGGATGTAGAAAGCGGGTAATCCTGGGTCTATGCTAAGGAAGGTGAGGAAGGAGGACGAATTCTTGGCAGCCCTTTTCTGCTGTGTTCCTATGCTGAACAGTTCTTCGGACCAGGGACACGACTCACCGTGCTAGGTAAGAACGCACACAGGTGTGAGGGAAGGTAACAGAATTAGCCAAAAAGACCTCTGGAGCCAGAAAGCCTTAGCAGAATGGGCACTTAGTTACCCAAGACCCTGCGTGGGGGAAGACAGGGTTTGTGCCAGCAACCCCAGAACTGTGCAAACACCGGGCAGCTGTACTTTGGTGAAGGCTCCAAGCTGACAGTGCTGGGTAAGCAGGGCAGGTGGAGGGGTACTGGGGGGGTGGTTAAGATGGACAGAGTAGGAAAGCAGCTCAGCTTCCTCTTGGCCTGAGCTGACCTGCTATGGCAGGGAATTCTGCGATCAAGAGAACACTCACTGTTGATGGGGAGCTGAGCCGGGGCTGGGATAGCAGGAGTGGGCAGCACCGGGTTTTTGCCCTGAGTCTGGAGGCTGTGAGCACAGAAACTCAGTATTTTGGCCCTGGAACCAAACTGACCGTGCTCGGTAAGTTTGGAGCTAGTGATGGGGGTGGGGGTAGCGGGACATCTCCTTACCGGGGATTTCCAGGTAAGGATGGCCAGGGCCAGTTTTTGTGCTGTACCAAGGGGCTGTGAGCCAAAACACCTTGTACTTCGGTGCAGGCACCCGACTCTCAGTGCTAGGTGAGTCGGGGTGTTTTTGTGCTGGGCTCTGGTGCTGTGAACCAAGATACCCAGTACTTTGGGCCAGGCACGCGGCTCCTCGTGTTAGGTGAGCTGGGGACCCGAGCGTGACAGTGGCGGCGGGCTGGGGCTGCAGTGGGCTCGGGTGCCTTGGATGGGTTTCTGTGGGGCGTCACCCGGTTGTGCTTCGCAGCCCTTGCCTTAACTTTACGTGAGTTTCTTGGCAACTGCTGCGGCTCGAGCCCCAGGGCTGCTGGCGTCTTTGCACTGGGGTCCCTGGCCCTGCGGGAGGCTGGGTAACAGGGAGATTGTCCTGAAGCAGGGGACTAGCTCCCTGCATTGCGCGGGTTTGCGTGTGGGGTTGCGCCTCTGTGCTCCTATGAGCAGTATTTCGGTCCGGGCACCAGGCTCACGGTCTTAGGTAAGATTCCAGCTTTTGTTCCTGGGTCGGTGGAGGAGTTTGGGGTAGACCTGGGTTAGGGCTCCTTGGGGAGTCTGCAATAGGATACAGTCTCAACTTCACCGCTCTGGGAGGGCTGCGTGAGGCAGGGTGCCAGGCATTGCTCTCTGAAGACAGGACAGATTCTGCTTAGTTCTCTTTCTGAGGCTTGCATGCGCTGGGTGGGCGGTGGAGAAAAGGGTTTATCGGGACTCTGGAACAAGCTTGTTTTTGAAAATAAGTAACAGGGGAGCAAAGAACTAAAAGGCAGATAGAGGCAGGGAGGATCCGACGGTGCCGCTGACCTCGCGGACTGACAGTCTCAGCAGTGAAAGTTGTTCAAACCAGGGTCTTTTGAAAGGAGGAGAATGCCAAGCGAGAAACCAAGGACAGGCTGATAAACGTGAGCGGGAACAGAAGAATCAAAAGCCTGGTGGTGTTGGTGTTCTATTGATTTTTAAACTTCAAACACTGTTTTTCCTCCAAATCTGGGGACCCTTGATGCAGGATGGAGACCTGCCTAGCATGCACACCTTCTCGTGGCTAGTCAGCCCCAAGTCAGGGGGACCTTACTCACTGGGGTCTAATTATCCTCAAGTTATTCCCCTGAATCCTGACCTAACATCTTCATTGTTCACACCATGTATTCCAGGCTAGACAGACAAGATCATAAAGGGAGTTTGTTGATCATCAGCACACATTCAGGTTCAAATATTTAGCCTGGGAGACGAGGAAAAATGCTTAAACAACCTTAGGGTCCCAGTACTAGAATAGACTTTAACGATCATTTGGCAACGGGGGCCAAGGTTATAGAAGAGAAATAACTCACAGCCTGGGAATGTGAAACCTGCATTATTTGATAGTCATGGCAACAGTGGACGCCATGTTAAAGTCTGCCTAAAGGATAGGTTTCCTGTGATCAGGTGGGATAGAGAAAAGAGCCAGCTATTATAACCAGATAAGGCTGAATTCAGTCCCAGCTGTT